AAGTTTCGCTCTTGTTGCTTTGGCTGGAGTGCAATGACTGGATCGTGACTCCCTGCAACCTCTGCCTCCCAGGTTCAAGCGATTCTCCTGTCTCAGCCTCCTGAATACCTGGGATTACAGGCATGCACCACCAGACCCAGCTAATTTTGTATTTTTAGTAGAGACGGGGTTCTCCATGTTGGTCAGGCTGGTCTCCAACTCCCGATCTTAGGTGATCTGCCCGCCTCAGCTTCCCAAAGTGTTGGGATTACAGGAATGAGCCACCGTGCCCAGCCCTATTCCTTGTATTCTTTTTATATTATTGTGAATTCAATATAGCATTGATAAGGGACCAACTTGGAATCTGTAGCCCATTTCTATTAACAGTGAGAATGTAAACATACTTCCTTGTTTTTTTTTTTTTTTTTTTGTTTTTTACTCATAATCACTTTGGAAAAACTGAGTTTGAATGTTTTCTCTCCATTTTTGCAAAAGAATCTCCCATTTCCTTGTTAATGGTCACCTGAAAGATGCAAATGCCAAGTAAGAAATCCTCTTTAAGGAGACTGTAAATTAAGGTGGGGTTTCCTCATCTGTCAATCTTTACTTTGAATGTAGGCCTATTCAAATTGTCTAATTAATATGGCTGTAACTGCTGCTGGGAACATTCCATTGGGAGACAATGAGAACGCTTCCCAGTGGTGTAATAGGAGAGATCCTCAGGGAGGAGCAGTCTGACAGCCATTGCCTTGACATGGCAATTTTGGAACCTTTGAAAAAATGAAGTAATGCAACATACTCAGCGTCCTCTGGAGATGCAGTTTACGTAAGACTAGGTGTTTAGTTATAGGGCACATAAGTGTTGAGTGGCCTTCTAGGTTAAAGTAATGATTTAATTTGCCAGGAAACTGTTTATGATACTCAGGATGATTTGATGAGTGTCCAGAAAAAGAGGATTTTTTGATATATCTCATAATACTCTTAATATATAGGTTTATCCTCCCTCTTCTTTTAAAAAAATTTCAATAGCATTTGGGGTACATGTGGTTTTTTTGGCATATGGATGAATTATATAGCGGTGAATAGATTTTAGTGCACCTATGACTTGAGTAGTGTACATTGTACCTAATGTGTAGTTTTTCTTTTATCCCTAGCCCACCTCCCACTCTTCCCCTTCTAAGTCCCTAAAGTCCATTATATCACTCTGTATGCCTTTGTGTACTCGTAGTTTAGCTCCCACTTAGAATGGTTTTTGGTTTTCCACCCCTGTGTTCCTTGATTTGGAATAATGGCCTCTAGCTCCATCCAATTTGCTGCAAAAGACACTATTTTGTTCTTTTTAATGGCTGAGTAGTATTCCACGAATATATGGATGTATTCCATGGAGATATATCCATGTATATATATATATATATATGTGTATATATATATATATATATGTATATATATATATATATATAACCTTACTATTTTATGTAGTTTTAATGGATAAAATGATTCTATGAAATTATAGAAAGCACTTTTAAAATTAGAGCTGTCATTATCAAAATGACACATATATGCATACATATAACATAATATTCAGAAAGAAAAATGTTAAATCTTAGTATCTTAGGTTAAAAATTCTCTATTTTAGATTTGAGGCATGAAAGTGATTAATACATGCACATGCACACACACACTTACCTTTATATATGTAAATTTTATAGTTTTAAATTGAGGCATAGTGTATAGTGTATAAAACACAGATTTCATGCCTCAGTTGTTTTTTT